GGCACGTAAAGATTAGGCAGACTGAACTTCCTCGCTGCCACATCACTCATCAAAATTTTTTCTTTTTGTGTGTACATATTTATACTGTTAGGAGTAGAGGAACATATTAGTTACCCAGAACATCCATTTCAGTTCCTACCTTGTCTAGTTGAGGAAGTGTTTGAGCCACGTGTGGTAGACCACATCCTTTCTCTTATGCTAGCAGATGATGAAGGAACACATCTGGATTCAAAATTTCATTTTCACCCTCAACATTTTTTGTATTAGCACACTGTCATACTTAATATAAATTGGAAAACACTTAGTCCCATAGCACTTGATTTTCTGGAAGAAGACAAAGCATGACATTGTGGAGTCCATAAACAGCAGGGGGTATAATTCATAGTAAAGCTATATAATATGTTCCATATACATTGCAGCTGTTGATAGATTTTATTACATTTCAGTTAAGGACCTTATTACATTTGCAGGCAAGATTTATTATATTTGGTTGTATTACTTCTAAAGTTCAGGATATTTTCACGTTTGTAGCTGGCTTATTTCATCTATGATCACTGAGTTTACATCATAACCTTGTTATAACTGTAGGTTATGAATAATGTCACCTGTTGTTATGACGCTTGCAGTCAGTTTTCATTACAACTGTTTCTAATACTTCACAATATTTTGCAGGTGCTGGATATTAGATTGCGGTTTTTAAAGACATATTTTGAAGTCAACGGAAACATAACAGAGAAATATCTGAAGTAAAGCCTCTTGCAACAGAAATGAGGATGCTGGTCAGTGGCATGAAAAGAGAGGTGGGAGATTTCTGCTTATACACATGCAGATTACTTAGCTACATATTTATGAACTGGAAAGTACTTCTAATTTCAGAGTTTTCAGGTATAATAATATAACATAATGAATAGCATCCTATCTTTCTTTGTTCCTAGAAATCTAAAGTTCATTCATACCTTAATGTCCCAGGGCCTTGGTGTGGCGAAGTGCTGGGATTTTTGGAACATCACACGAACATGGCTGTTTTTTATGCCCATCTTTACCTAACAGGTCTCAGTTTTTGCCCATTAGCACTTAATGCCTTCCAGTGCTAAACAAACACTGTAATAGTGTCTTTCATCCTGTGTCACCACTCTTAAATCCACAAATTTTAATGAGAAATAAACCACTTCATAAACAAAACTTATAAATTGTAACTAGCCAAAAACATTGAACTAGCTGCTCTATACCTAAATTCTGATTGAATAATTAAAATTTATTTACATTGTTGCAGTATAAAATAAAGATTCAGAGGAACCAAGTCCCTTTCTTCTAGCTACTTCTTTATATGTCAAGATAGCTTTCCTACCCTTTATAATTTTATCTACGATAAGATGGAGGCATGCTTGCCACAAAGGGAAGAAATAAATGTCACGTTGATTTAATGAAAAATCTTCAGTGATTTACCATGATAGTAAATGTATAGTTTCAAGAAGCATTAATTCAAACTAATGAAATCACTCTGTTTCAATTGCAGAAAAGGCAACCATCAGTCATTAACTGTTTTTAGGAACCACATTAAACTGCCTAAGAGATTCCATTGTGCATTCACATATTGAAAATTGTTTCAGTCTTGTGTGGGGAGATAACATGAAACAGCTCTATTCTTTTGCTAATTGCTCTTTTCATTTTGCATGCTGAATCAGTTGTGTCCTTAGTATAGTAGCCTTTTTCTACCTGATGACTGGGGCAGAATATGTTGACCAGAGGAATCTATAAGAACTCCTCCTTCATGAGTTTAAGTCCTGTCTTGTATGGTATAGAAAAAGCAGAAAAGGTACTGTGTGCACCAGATGAGTGAAACTGTACAGTTCATATCCAGGAAATTGTGCAGTTCTGCTCATCCTTCTGTACTTTTAGTCCCACATATAGCCCTTGTCCTAAACAGTCTTCATGGGTTTTAATTGTCTGATTAGACTTCAACTGAGAAGAAAGAAATGAAACTTTTTTTTAAAACATAAAAAGTTTTCTAATTGTCTTATCCTTTTAGTTATCTAAACATGGTTAGAAACCTAGCCCTGACTGTAATCTAGGAACACTTTACAGAAGAAAGTGCTTCACTTGAAACCATATCAAAGGAACAGGATGTCAGTGCTCAAAAAGACAAACAACATTCATAAAGGAAAGTGAAAATCAAAGACAAAGGGAAGTTGTGATAAAGAAAGGGGATTTGGAATTCTGAAATTATACTGACTCAAATCCTGTAGAACATTGAGAAGCAAAGACGCAGAGGAGGGAATTACGTATAGGTGTTTTATTGATTTATCTAGAGTCTGTTCAATTTTTGTGCTAATGAAAAAGACTGTAATTTTGGTGCTATTCTTGATATATGTTAATATTTGATCTATCAGTTACCTTTGTAAATTAAAATGTCCCTGTCCTGGCTTTAAACTGAGAGGCTGTACCCAGAAATATGTCAAGAAGGTCAGAAAAGAGAAACTACATTGGTCTGGAGAAGCTTAAAACCACTTGGGTCTAATGTGATATGAACTGTACAAAAAAACGCATCATGCATCTGTCCAGAATTGAAAGTTCAGCAAATGCCACGAAATATATTTATATCTTCAGCATATTAACTTTTAAATGCAAAGCATTACTGTTTCAATCTACCTCCCAAAACCCCAAGACGAAGCATTTAAAGCGAACTTCCATGAAATGAATAGTTGCACTAGTTAGTTTTCATCAGCAGATTTTTTTCTCCTTTTTTTCTTTGTTTCCCTTTCATAAAACTTAAATGATCCTGATTGTGAGCACAAGTTGCAATTCTTATACTTAGAAAGACAGGCTGCACTGAGAACCACTGAGCAGAAGCCCTTCAGCGTGCCACAAGCAAAGCAACTTTGCGGACCAGGCCCTTTGCAGATTAATTTCATTCACATAATTAGTGATGCTTCTTTAAAGAATCCTTCTTTTTTGTCCTTTTGCATTCATGGTTTAGGTTGGAACAGGCTTATGTTTTCCAGTTACATGTTCTCCAACAAGCAGAACAATAGAATTTACATCTGAAAAGTTCACAAAGCACTGTGTTGTAGAGTGAATTAATCAGTGACCTTTCTCTACCAGAAGTGTGCATGTCCTGATAAAGCTGAAAGCCCTTCTGGAGGCAGGAGAGGGGAAATAAAGAACATTGTAAATTAAAGGATATTGAGACCGGGAGTCTCATTTTCTGCCTTCTGAGTTCAGAGATGACTATTTCTCACCTTAAAGACTAGTCTTAGCAGGCAATTTTTCACCATAGCCAACATATTTAAATGACATAATTGACAACATTTGTTGAAAGGACTGAAGAAACTGGGATGATAAAAGACTTTCTTGCATGACTTTGGTCTTTCTAGGTCAGGGTTCAGGTGGCACAACAGAGTGTCTGGCACCCAAACTGTGAATAAATGTAACATATTTCAGCTGGGGTGTCTGGTCTTTGAAGAAGAGGTTCCACTCTTTATCAGTTTTCCCAGTATTTTGTGTATGATAGCATATATCTAAATAGAAGGTACAGACGAATGTTTCCAAGCAATGAAGAAACTATTGATGCTAAATACAATAAATCAAGATAAAATTATCTTGCCTAAGCTATGTAGACTAGATCAATGTTGCTAGGCCAAGTGGTCAGAAAAAATTTTACAGAGTCCTGTAGCAGATCTAGGACTTCATGCCTAAGTTGCAGTGTTATTAGCATTCTGTATCTGCTCCTTTGAAATTATAAATGGATGTATTCATTGTGTCTCAGTGTTTAAACTTTTCAGAGGCACAGTCTTATGGATTTTACTTCACACATATGTAACTGGCAAGAGCAGGGGGAATTAAGGCGGGTTTTTTCTCCTCTTCAGTTATTCAGTCTCATCTTTTCAATTTGAATTTCCTTTTTTTGTTTTATCCATATGTCCATAGAACATCTGATTAGTAGTTTTAATATCCTTTGCAAGGTCTACGTCAATTTGGATTCTTGTGTTTTTTTAAACTTTATCTCCAAATATCTAAAATATATCTTTTTTTGCTCATCAGTTCATTCTTTTCCCATTCCTTATAACCTCAATATCCTTTCTGAGATTACCAGGTGTTCTGAGCAGATCTGCATCCACATAGATAGTCTTCTTTTTATTCTTTCTTTGGAATCTATATTGGAAATATTTTATGCACTTCTAAATGCCAAGTTTTTCAGTCAGCTTTTGCCCCAAGCTTCTCAAATGAATGATTTTAGCAAATTTCTTACACTGACAAATTTATTTTTCTGAAATTTTGAAGCAGTGTTAGAGGATCTACTTTTAGTTTTCCATTTAATCTCTGCTTAGTTGGCCTCGGACTTCTCAGTGGAGAGAAGTATGTTTACAAAGAAATTTATAATTTTCCTCAGTATTTACATAAACCATCAAAGATTGCTGGTTTGATGGTTATTTCATAACATTTCAGCAGTCACCTCCAGGAATAAGTAGGAACTAGCATTATTCTTACCATTTTTCCAAATCACATTCAGGAACTTTCAAAATATTCCAAATAATATTGTATGGGAAACATTGCTGTTGTGGGCATCAACAGAAGCACCAGGCAGCTGCTCGCTCACGGTCCCCCACCTCCCCACAGTCAGACAGGAAGGAGAATCAGAAAAATGTAAAACCCATGGGCTGAGATTTTTTAAGAACAGTTTAATAATTAAAAATGTAAAATAATAACAACAATAACAACAATAATAAAGGAAAAATATATAGAGACATAAAATCCAAATGAAACAAGTGATGCACAGTACAGTTGTTCACCACTCACTGACCAATGCCATTCCATCCCTGAGCACCAGCTCACCCTGGCTAACTCCACCCAGTTTATATACTGGGTATGATATTCCATGGTGTGGAATATCCCTTTGACCAGTTTGGGTCAGCTCTCCTGGCCATGATCTCTCACAGCTTCTTGTGCACCTGCCCACTGGCAGAGCATGAGAAGCTGAAAAGTCCTTGACTTAGGGTAAACACTACTCAGCAACAACCAAAACATCAGTGTATTATCAGCATTATTCTCATATTGAATCCAAAACACAGTACTATACCAATGACTAGGAAGAGAATTAAGTCTATTCCAGCGGAAACCAGTGCAGTATTCATCCCTTACTCCACACCATTTATGTCATGTCAGGTCCCACACTTTTCACTATACCATCACCTTTCCTGTCCTTTTATATATGCACACAGATATCATTCCCTTAGTTTATGGACTATCCCTATAAGAGTCTATTGAGTTCATTAAGTTCATGACTTTGGGCTCCATCTTCCATAAGTCTTTCAGGGTAGCAAAGATGATGTGAGGTGCTGGATTGTTGCATCCTGAAGTGAGTTCTGATTCCATCACTGCTGCTCTTGTCCAGTTTCATTAAAGTTCATTCTTCATGTTCAAAATCCCAAATCTGAGAAGGCGGAGAGGTGCTGTGTCATGATGGGCATATAGCCACCACAGAGGTGATAATATACAGTGTTATAGAGCAATTAACATCTTAAAGCAAAGACTTTTTCATTGTAAAGTCCAATCAGTGCAACTAGTTATCCTTCTCCTAGCTTGAACTCAATACTTTTCACCTCACAGATCATTAGGCATAGAGAAAAAATGATTTAACTTATCATTATCCGTTATTCTTAATAATTCATGCAACGTTTTTGCAGTCAACTCCATGGATGACTGACATGCTCAGGAAGATGGTATGAAAAAATTTTATTCTCTAAGTGGGTCAGGGTTCTGATGATCCTCAAGGGAAGGAGGAGGCCAAGTTACAGAAAATGTTACAGTGAGTTGAAAAATATTCTACCCACTCTGTCACCAAAACAGAGACTTCAGCCTTCTACAAGTAATACTGTGTAAGACCTCAGGACAGGACACCAGCCTAAATGAGGACTAATTCCTTTCCTGATCCTAAAATATCTACCTCCTCTGCTAATGTTGGTTAGAGAACCTATAGTTGGAACCCTCATGTGCCAGTTTTAGGATCTGTAATGAATATTAAATTTTTATAGAGATTTCTTCTCAGCTACTGTTTAAAAATGGCTCTGCCTGAAGTCTACATAGTTCAGGTAAGAAGTAATTTGTTTCAGTTTTCTCCAGTGAGACATTTTTTTCATCGATAGGCTCAGCAGAGAAAATGGTAGCTTTGAACATTCAAATTCATACATATTATTGTGACCACTGATCAGAATACATCTCCTATTCACTATTCAACTAGTGAAAGAAGACTGGGAAGAAAGCAGAAGGGCAATTTTGGCATGACAGGGAGCCATAATTCTTTACTGTTATTTTTAAGGTAGCTTTAGACCCTTTCTTAACATCAGCAAATGAAAGCATCAGCATTATGAGCCCCCATCAACTTACCTGGTCTATCTACTTCAAATACCTTAATATAGATAATTAATTAACTTAAGTCACCATCAGTTCTTTGGCATGACTCTCATCATAACCTTCAGGTTAATAAAGCAATAATAATTTGCAGGATGGGGTAAAATATTTCTTTGGTAATTGAAAAAAGTGCAAAGAGTTCTACAATTAAATTTACTCATATGATTTGGCCTAAAAATCAAAACAATAAATTTGAAAAGAATGTTTGACAAAAGTAATCAGAGCAAAGCATATTCAAAATGAAGCAAGATGTTTCAGAAGTTTTGACTTTCTCATGCCAAAGAATTATGGTCAATACTTGCTAGATACAATTTGTTTTTGATAAAGAAACAATCTTTTTCGTTGAATAGTTTGCAGCAACTCTACCACTGCTCCAAGCCAAGAAAAAGCAGTAGAGAAAGCAGCTGTACCTCCTCTGAAAAGCAGCTAAATTTGCAACTTTCTCCGGGCTGAACCTGATAAATCAGTTCAGACGACCACGAATAGGAACGATAACTTGATATGGTATTGCCATAAAATCTTTATAATCAGTCAGACCAGTACTTCTTTTAACAAATGGAATTATAGAACCAGTTTCTTAACAGTAACAAATAATTTAGCTCCTCTAATTCAATACAATTTATAACCAGCTTACTTTCCAATAAACCCCTTGAAACATAATAAAATTCATTAGTTTCCCCTAAGAGTGTACATTCTGTGGAACCAGTTACACTTTAGGAGTATAAATGTAATTGCTTTGGAAGAAATTCAGGCCCCTATGCCTCATGTATCTCGCACCAATGCCTATGTAACTCTATCAAAGCTGGATGTCACCAGACTTTCTTGGTTGTATATTGCTTCTCAGAGCTATGCATTACTGAAGTATAATCATACTGTGCAATAAGAATTGGATGATCTACAGGAAAAGAAAAAGAAGTGGGGATAAAATTAAATCAGACGAGATATTTTTCTATCATAAGAGGGAGAATAAGGCATAGAAAAAAATAGTTAAAAATATTCACAAATTCATTCAGTGATTTCAAAAGTCAGTCATTCTGATTTCCAGATATTTCCACCAGCATCAATTTCACTCACAACTGTGCATAAAGGACAACACTTGAGACAGGGACTCCTCTTTCTCAATGATAGATCTATCCTGCCCGTTGGACACCATACCCTCTGTCTTGGTGGGAAAGTATCAAATCATCTTATGGATGAGAAACACCTAGCACTTCAGCAGCTGTAGCAGGTGACACAGAAGTTGTTCCCTCTACAGAAGAGCAAGAGGTTTGGTGTTTGCCAGGCTTGGCAGGAGGCAGCTGGGTGAGGCACACACTGTGCCTTCCTCAGCCCCCGAAGCAAAGCTGCCACTGCCCCCTCCTGTCAGTTCTCGGTAAGAACGAGAGCTGCAGAGCACAACTTGAGAGATGATGAGCAGGTTTGTTTCTGAGGATGTCTCAAATTAGACATCCTCAAAAATCTGTCAGAACAGGGACTGGATCCTGTGGTTGATCTTTCAAGTCAGTAAACGTCACCCCCACAGTGTATTACAGCAGAGACTTTCTTCTTTTAAATTACTGCCTTTCTGGGTTTTACCGTAGAAGGGTCACTAGTCCAAAGTTATGGCACCTTCCAGAAAGCCACAAATCACCACCCTGGATGCACAACACAAGGCTTTGTCTCTGTCGGACCCACAACACATGTTCTGATGAAGGGCTCCTCATTGGGAACAGCTGCCATAAGCCCATTTCCTTCACACACCTCTCCTACAGGAGACAAGGGCTGGCACTACAGGTGCTTCAATACTCTGAGCTGTCACACAGAGGAGTTACAGTAGAAGGAGAAGGAAAGTATAATTACAGGATGAGGAATAATGGGATTAACTAAGAACTAATGCCAAAGTAAAAAGAACAATACCTTTTATATGAGATATGAAGTTGGAATTCAGTGGCAAGGTATAACAAAGAGAGTTAAAAATGTAAGTATTTTTAAAAAGGGTTATAAGAAAAAGAAGTTCCAAAGTAATAGAAATGAGAAATATAATCAGGTATGTCAGGTACAATAAATTAATGAATTCTATGTTTTGCAAACTTCTAGAAAAATGTTGAATTGTGTTCAAAATTCGAATTACAAAGAAGCAGATATTTTGGCAACAGTGACAGGATCTTTAGAATGAGAACCTGTCTGTACACCCAAAACTCAAAAACTGAACTGAAGGCAGTATTCAGCAAGATACAAAGAAAGCAGCATAGATCTAGATCTCAGTTTTTTACACTAACAGTATAAGTATATATACGAAATTTGAATGTTAGGCAAAAGTATTCTGAATAGTTGTAGTTATATTTTCAAAATTTGGTTAAAATTGTTCCCTCAAACAAAATTACAGTTCTGAATGGTTTAGAAATTAATTAGTTTTTAAAAAACAAAAGTAAATGATGTTTCAGTGAAAATTATCTTCCCTAAATGCATGAGAATATTCAAGTATTAGCTTAAAATATATAGCACTAGTGAACTACCAGGTGCTTTATCTTCCATAGATGGGAATAAACTAAGCAACTTAGTATTTTAAGTTCCATTTTCAAAATTTTTATGTCTAAAAATCACATTTCCCAACATTTTTAACTGCTGAAGGATATGAATAAGTATCTAGTAGGATTGTCAAAAGCCTTTATTTGGGTTAGACAACTAAAAGTTATTGATCTGAAGAGATTTTTTTCTGCTTGAAAATTTCAAGAAATTTATATTTTGATCATGACTGCCTATAAAACTATAAAAAAATCTATTCTCACTGTACTTTTAAATTTTTATTTACCTGTTTTGAAAAATATACTTCTAGAGTAAATTCTAGACACACATCTAGTGGTGAGGAAATCAAAATATGTATTAACAGTGAAAAATTTGAAATTCTGGTTTGGTGCTTGATTTTTCCAAGTTTTCAACATAGAAAAGTTTTTTTCAAAAAAGAATAACAAAGATGTTTACTTACTCAAAAAAAGCATTATTTTTAAGCTTTAAGCAATGGATTTTGACAAAATAAGAGTTTTCTTCTTTTTTTTTCTTTTTTTTTTTTTTTTTGACATTCATTTTTGGTATAAACTGTCATATCACAGCTGTAAAAGGTCAAATTCAGAGTCCCAGAGGCAAGCTCCTCATTGCAACCAGAACAGGTACATTCTCTTTCAGATGGCAGGTAAGATTTCAGACTTCTAATGACTAGCAAGCTTCATTTTGTCATTCTGCAACCATTGTGCCAACTTATTATGTAAATAAAAACACTTCAGACAGGCTCAGAAAGCCATGGTAAGGACTGTCATGTACAGAAAGCAATGTCATTGCTAACCTCTAAGGTCAAAGCAGTCTATTATCAAAGTGTTAGATATCAATGTGTTGATAAGTAGCTTAAAAGTATTACTTTATTATAATGGGAACAAAAAGTCTTATCTGAATAACTTTTACATTAGTTATATTTTCCTCTTTTTTTTCTGAAGCATTCTTTCTTCAAATCAGCCAAGAATACTAGGGAGACAAAGAGACATCTTTTTTTGTGATGTTGCATGAACTAGTAAAAACACTAAACAATCTGTCCTTTTATGTAGGACATGACATCAAAATTAATTGTATATATCCTGATGTAATGGAATGCATTGAAACAATGCTGTATATTTATTGAGTTTAATCTAGGATTAAATTACTCTGTGAAAATAGAAAATCCTTTTATAAATTATAGATATTTTATTCCCTTCCAATCCCCTTATTCCCTGTGCCAGGTGAAATCTAAAAAGCATCCTTGAAAATATAGAGTAGTACATGCTACATGGTAAATGTTCAAAGCATTCAAAGCTAGAAATTGCTTCTCTGGCTTCTGGTATCATTAGAACTTGTTGTTCTAATTCACAATAATTTGTGCTATGGTATTATATCCATTTATAGTGAAGGCTAAATGTATAGAACTGCATTTTACTAGCAATTATTTCTTCTGTATGTTATGACATATATTTCTCCCATACCTAGGATAGGATAAAGCACACTGAGCACTTTCTTGTAATATATTTGTGCTATAGAGCTATTTGCCACCTAAACAAAACCTCCTAAAGACAACAACCAAATAGAAAAGCATCATCAAGGAAACAACAAAGGGAAACAAAATAAAATGTTATATACACCAAAAGATATACAAAAACATATGCTGGACAGTATAAGAGTATACAATGAGTATACACTCATTGAAATCTTTCGTGTTCTTTCTGCTGATGTAAGTGAATTTGGCCCATGGTCAAGAGAAGTTATATCTCTCACTAGTAAAAGTGAGAAGAAAGGCTAATACTGAGTGATTTTAATCAGATTATTCATAAATTTATCCTGACTGAAGTTTTTATGGCACAGTAACACACACTTAAGTATCATGGACCTGTTGACAATCAGAAGCAAAGTGACACCACTTCTCTCTTTTTTGCAGACAGAAGGAAAACATCTGCTTTGTTTCTTCTGTCCATTGCTTCCCCTAGATCTGTACTCGGTCACTGATGCAAGCTTGTATCAGGGGACTTGGAAAAATGTGGAGTAAATTCAAAAAGAGATTCTACAGAACACTGTAATTACAAGATAAAAAAATTATCTTTGTTTTTCTACTCCTCATTAGTTTGAAACCAGCTTATTACTTGATGGAAAAGGGGTAACAACGGCAAAGCATTTAAGAGGACTCACTGTGGATCCACAGACTGATGAGAGTGTGTCTTGTTCCACTCACCTGCCAAGGCTGACACAAACTATCCACCCAGATGTAAGTGGGCACCAGGGCACTACAGGTCAACAATGAAGAGTAGCCACAGGTGACAGTAGTCAAATTACCTGTGTGATGTTTCTTCTGCAAAACTGGATTCTCTAGCCATCTTTTCTTAATTAGCCAACCAGGTTCAAGCAGATCTGTCTTTGCCTTGTTTCTCTGCAGTAGAGATACAGAACTGTGCCTTGTCTACAAGGTTTTTAACTAATTTAAACACTGTACTGATTTTTTGCTGTACTTCCATATTTTTAATCCAGTTTCAAATGAATCCTGGTTTAATAGGCATGTCTTTCTGTTTTCCCCTGCCTGATTTACCTCAAAAGAAATATCTTTCTTCCCATGTACTTCTGTCTCTAGAGTTTTATAAAAGGGGCGTGATCAATGCACAAAGCCAGATACACAGAACAAAAGCTGTAATAGAATACCTCCTTTCTGATTTTTGTGAAGACCGAGCTTCAGAAAACTCAAGATGAAATGTAAGAAGATTAACTTCCAATTATTCCTATCCTTGACCTAAGGCTGGAAAGGAGAAACTAGCATATTTTAAACATCTTTGTCACATTCAGGTCAGGATCTCACAATTGCTTGAACTTATATTTTAGCTCCTGGGGCCCGTAATGGGTCCTGCACAGTAGGCAATAACCAAAAAGGAATATAACCCGTCCCACCCCATCTATGGCACATTCCTTTTTGTTTTCCTGGTCTGTCTGGGGAGCAGAAATTTTCCAATTAGTAGCATTTGCTAAATCCATACTCCAGCTCAGCCAGGGAGTACCTTTTGCAATTAGCATCCAGTGGATATTTTTCTCATTTTATAAAGATCTCTTATCTTCCTAGTACAAAATTACACTAGTTTAAATAAGCGAGATTAAGACCCACACAATTGTACATTTTTCCTGCATAAAACAAAGGTATGGGGTCTGACTTTACTAGTCACACAACCCCATGTGTATTTGATGAGTCATTTTCTAGAGAGGTGATGAAAGGAAGAAAACTTGTGAAAAACATGCTAAAACCTACCACAGATAATTAGCTTTATTACTACTCTGATTCTTTGCGATGATGAAGACATTGTGCATATAGGACAAGTCTCCTATTTCAAAATAGGTTAAGGTCTTAGTGTAACCTATTTATTTATTTATTTTATATTGAGAATTTTATTTCCTAAGCTTCCTCAGAGCTTTATTATAACTTGTAACTTCCTCTAAAAAAGGGCCTCTGATCTTTGGTCACTGGGAAGTGTATCTGCCATATCCTTTGGTGAGTGTGAAGAAATACTCCTCTTTGAGACTTAGTTTCTGGCATTGATCAGAGGTGAAATTTTGACCAATAGGTCAATGCTAAGGAAAACACAGTGCACATGAAAGCATCATTTTTGCAAAATCTGACAAGGAAAAAGGTAACTGCATTATGAAGGCCAGAATATATGAGACATTTTTTGCTTAATTTTTTTTTTTTCACAGAATCAAAGAATCATTAGGGTTGCAAGTGACCTCTGGAGATCATCTAGTCAAACCTCCCAGCCAAGGCAGGGACACCTACAGAAGGTTATACAGCAACATGTCCAGGTGGGTTTTGAATGTCTCCAGAGAGAGGGACTCCATGACTGTAGCGGCGACCCTTGTATAACAAGGAATGATTGATGCTCCTCGTGCGGTGTTGTGGACAAAGAGGTTTAATTCAAACTCGCGCGCCCTTTTATCCTTACAGATCATGTGACTTTCTTAACCAACCAGTTTACTAACTCTGGGGCATGCTCCTTGGGCTCTGTACCTGGGCACATCCTCTGTGCCTCTCAGACACGCCCCTACACATGACCCCCCTGGGCAGCCTGTTTCTGTGCTCTGTCACCCTCAATATAAAGAAATTCTTCTTCATGTTGAGTGGAACTTCTTGTATTTTATTTTATGACCATTACTTCTGTTGCTGGGCACCATGGAAACAGTCTGGCACCATCCTCTTAGCATTTGCCTTTGAGACATTTTTATGCATTAATGAGATCCCCTCTCAGCCTTCTCCAGACCAAACAGGCCCAGCTCCTGCAGTCTCCCCTCATAGGAGAGATGCTCCAGACCCCTCATACCTTTTGTGGCCTCCACTGGAGCCTCTACAGCATCTCCTTGTCTTTCTGATACTGAGGAGCCCAGGAGTGGACACATCACTCCAGATGTGGCCTCACTAGGGCTGCGTAGAGGGGCAGGATCACATCTTGACTTGCTGGCCAGACTCTTCCCGATACATCCCAGGATATCATTGGCTCTCCTGGACACAAGGTCACACTGTTGGCTCATAGTCACCAAGACTCCCAGCTCCTTCTCTGCAGACCTGCCCTCTAGAAGGTCAGCCCCCAGCTTATACCGGTACTTGGGGTTATTCCTGCACAGGTGCAGGATCCTCCATTTGCCTTTGCTGAACCTCATTATGTTCTCTCTGCTCGTCTCTCCAGACTGCCAAGGTCCCCCTGAATGGCAGCACAACCTTCAGGTGTATCTGCCACACCCCCAGTTTCGTATCATCAGCAAACTTGCCAAGGATCCATTCTAACTGTACTTTTTTGTTTTACTATTGCACCTCTTATCTAAAATGTGCTGCCTTATTTCTATTGCTTCTTTCATTTTCAGATGAAAGAAAACTCAATCCTAAAAATAAGTCCATCAACTCTCTTAATTGAATTAACTACAAATAAAATGCTCCTTGCAATATCTAAAGTTAAATCAACTTTATTCATAGAGAAAATAACCCATTATACCAATTTCTGCAAATAACTTCTGTCTACTGTGCTGGGAATATTAATCCCCAAATACAGAAACTCACTCAAGAAAAAACAGGTTTTGTACTTTCTGATGACTGTTGAAGTCAACATCTCATTAAAGATATGTTTAATTTAATCTGAGATTTTTTTGGTACTCTTTCACACCTATCAATTTCCTAATTCATAATCAAGACCAAAGAGGTAGATAAGGTTAGAACAGACTGAAATCAAAGGCATTCAGGTGATTCAAAGACAATTGGAAGCTAATCAGGACAGACTAGCAGAAGTTGCCAGGTGAGGGGAAGCTCTCTGACAGCATGAAGCTGTTGGAGACAGCTTCTGTTGTAGTTTCCCCTCCTGGCTCCCCAGTACTGGGGAGAAAGAACAATACGAGAGCTCCTCAGTGGCTCTTCCATGGTAGGACAAGGCCTAGGGTATTTGCAGCTCTGGAGTGAAACACTCCTGGATTGCTGGAGACAACCTCATTCACTTATTGACTGCTGAAAAGATTTGTTAATTCTGTTGTTCTTCTTTATCATGGACATTAGATGTGCGTGTTGATGTACCTATATCAAATTCTTCCATTGTCTATTTTTGATAAAGATCCATAGGTAGAATGAAACAACTGAAAGATTAATACATAAATTTTTATCCAACACTTACCACCGAAAGATAGAACAATGTCTCTGAATTTATTTCTCTCCTTAATTCTTGCTTGTCCTCAGATAGTGTTCTCACTGCAGGAACCCCGGAGTGGCATCCATTCACTACCTATCCAATCCTTTGAGCAACTGATTAAAACAAAGTCAGCTTCTTAGAATCTGGGACGGCAAAGGTCTAAGAAAATATGCACAGAACACCAAGTGGGATTTAGATCATGGGAAGAAAACAGCTCCCAATAAACAGGTATTCTAAAACTTAGAGGCTCTCTGCTTTTCAGAAAGACAGTCATGCTCTAAACAATAAGTATTAATTCAAAATAACATGCAGGATAATGAACCAAGTCAATAAATAAAAGTAAAAATAATTTTAAAAAAATTGATCATTGCACTATATTATCTTTGTATCAAGTCTTTAAAGTTTCACTGTTTTCAAAAATTCCTTATAAAGACAGCTTGCAGTTGAGACATGAACATCACAGATGACAACAAAAAAACCACCGCTGTGACCTTCCCCTCAATAAACAGAGGCCTCATTTCCTTGAAAAAGCCTAGCTCTTAGATTAACAGAAATTTGTGTGAAGGTTGCCATACTGAACTCAAGCCTTTAGTGCCTTATGTGACCTGTTACACTGGATGAAAGCTGTGAGAATGCTCCAAGCATTCACAGAAATTGTTTAGTACAGTTTCATTATGACAATAAAAAGTGACAACTCTAGTAACGTGAAGTCTCTTTACTCTGACAGTTAAGATAGAGCACAATGTAACCTTACCAAACTTTATTGCTAGGAAGAAAGAAAAGTAAAGCAATGCTTATCATCATAACTTCTCCCAATTAATGAAACCTGTCTGTAGTCAAGTTTCATTCTGTGAGATATAGGTCTTAAATGCTCATTTGAGCTCTCATGAGTCCTTTTCAAAGAGTCAAAGTATGAATTTAGTCAAGCTATTCAAAGTTTTCAGAACAAGGTTTTTCATGTTGGTATTTCCTGTCTGGCAGATGTGGTGCAAAGGATTTGATAAAGGAGTTTCATTTTAGGACAATTTCCAAATATCAGTACTTTGGAGAAGACATATGTCTAGTCTAGACTGTTGAGGAACGTTGCAAGAGCCAAAAGACAAGCATAGCACCAAATTATTCCCTTATAATCCAGGAAACATAAATCTAGGAAAAATTCATCATTTTAGCCATACCATTCTTGTCACTATTTTATTAAATACCTTAACAGAAATGTATGTATTCCCTTCACCCATCCGATAGAACACAGAGTAAAATCTAATACACTGTAGCAAACAAAATCCATACTATTGCAATCATAATCCTAAACATTGCTGTTTCACAGCTACATTTATGTTACCAGAAAAATAAAAAGGTCAATGAGCATCACTGGACAGCTGCCCACAAAACCCCCTGTACATGCAGCCCTGTAAGTAAGCAGCATGTCACTGTTTAAAACACCTGCTACCTAAGAATACCAGGGGTGTCTACAAGCATTAACCCTATCACACCATAATTTGTGGCTTGTTTTGTTTGTTTGTTTGGGGTTTGGGGGGATTTTTTTTTTGTTTTTTAAAGTTTTTTGTGTCGGGTTTTTTTAAATCAAATGCTCTTAAACCTCCTTTTATACAGTCAGGAGATGAAGCACAAATGAAGGACTTAACTAGAGAATCTTTGGCAGCAGTCGGAACACAGTCGATTTTCTAGGCCCTTTTTAAGTGCAAAACTTGACTCATAAATATGGCCAACATACTTATCTTGATTGCATAATTTTTTATTGCTATGATAAAATTAACTGGCTGTAGCACATATGACATATGAGACATACGGAAGGGATGAAAGAAAAGGGAATCTTGACAAAATAAGAGATGCTCACATTGCAAAATCCTGGAATCATGCCTCAGTATGATCTTTCTCAAAATTCAGATATGTTTGGACTCCAGTGTTCACTGATCTTTGAAAGGCAGATCTAACATGGTTCTGTAAAAAGACAAAAAATGAAAACATTACAAAAAAGCACTTATGCATTCTCCTGTGTATAACTCTTGATGTCTCATCACTGTTAGTACTTATTTATTCTCTCTCATTAAATTTCTGTTTTCCTGATTGTATTGGCTTTTTTGTATATTAATTAGATCTCAGTTTTTTTGAGTCGATCACAATTTCAGAATTTGTTTCTAAACAAATACTTTTAAATTCTTCTCCAGAAGAATATGGAGGGGTAACTAAGAGCACAAGACACCTGTATTCTCAGTCGTGGATTTCCACTGAGGTACTGCATAGCTTTAGCAGTTACAACTCCCTCTGTAAATAATTATATTTCATTATTTTCATATTTGTGAACAGCTATTTCATAGTAATAAAGGTTACCAACTGACACTAGAGCCCAGTAGTGCTAGGCACTGTATTTATGAGCAGAAGAAGAAAATTCAGATCTTGGTACTGTTTGGAAGGACAAGACACAGAAGGAATAAAAGTGGAAAGAGGACAGGGAAGTTAAGTGGCTTTCTCAGGATCTCATGGTGCCAAGTTCAATGCTGTTTAAAGTGGACAACATGACAGCTCAGGGACTGTGTTTCAGTATTTTCACAGTACGTATTTGGGCTTACAGATTTCTTGTCTCACTTCTAAAAACCAGTTCCTGTAATGTGCAGAAAACTTTCTGTGGGTTGAGGTCATTCAGCACCTTGCAAGACTGACCCTGATGTTGAGAGGTGCTGAGCTCACAGAGCTCCCGTTGACTAGAGGTTCACAGTACCTCTGAAAATCAATTCATGTCTAATGGCCTTTTCACCTGTCAGAAATAATTGCTGTTTCACAGGAGCATACTAACTCAGTCACCATTTTGTTTTTAAAGGAGACTATTTGTTTTTAGCCTCCTTGGAAAATGATCTACTAAGGAGAAATATCAGGAACAAATTGTGTCCCAAAGGGAAAATACATTTTATATGAAACACTAATTCTGCTGATAGTCCTAAAAAACACATCTTTTAATAGTTCTTTCCCTTGTAGAAAAATCTGTTTAACTAATCTGATCATATAAAAAAATCTTACTTCAAACATTAGATAGTTAGCTGGGTATTCTCTGCTGGGATATATCTTTTACAGTCTAAAAAATCCTTAATACCAGTAGAAGCAGCATAACATGTAACAGGGGATGCCCTTTCTTTAGCTGGATCAGTGCCCATGTGTTGGAGAGCCTTCTCACTTAAAGTTATTATCTTCAGACATACTCCTGATGCCTTCCTAGCTTTAACGTTCCAGAGAAGAACACCTTAATGTATTTTTCTGTTGTTGTAAGACAGGTTGGGAAATCAAAGCAAAGCTTTTACATGAGTAAAATGTACACATCTGAAAGGATATGACAGCAGGGCCACATCATAAAGTGCAAGTCTGTTCAACGGAAATTAAAATTCACCTCAGGAATTAGTAAGCTGCATGCCTTGGCTGTAATAGTTAACAGACAGCTCTACTGGGATAGCATAGTGTGCACAAACTTAACAGAAAGTTCTAGATTTCATGTCCCTGCAAATCTTTCCTCACAAGGTTAAATGTGTACATGGCTAGAGGCCTGTATTTTCAAGTGCAGAACCAAGGGAGCATTTGTCTTGTCTCCAGATCTTCAGTTCCCTTTTCTGCTAAACCTATATTTCAAGGACAAAACCAAATTTCACTTTGAGAATTTAACAAAGGTGAAGAGTTATGAACACTTGATTTTCACTTAAAGCTTTTTAGTCCAATATGTCTTAATATCTATTTATAGATGTAAAAGTTCTGAGAATGATTTAAGTGATTTAGACAGACTATGCAATGCAAAAAACCCAAGTACAGGGTTTTGATGCATAGAAAATTTTTCCATATGGAACTTCTTCACATATATTCCTGGGTAAATGCTGTGGGTATTCAGATTCTAAAAGCTAGAATAGTAAATTAGTAGTGTGCATTTATCATAAGACTTATTAGCCCCTAATGTCTCCTGGCTGTCCCAGAATGCATTATAGCTCATTCCTATTTTCAGGGAAGTCAATGACTAAATGTTATCAAGGACCAGAGCTCCCTCCCTCATGCAGATGTTAGAGATTGAAATTAAGAATTACTGCACTTTGTACCCTGGAGGTTGGATGCACCAGAGCAGTAGGGCTGTATCCCAAGGAAAACAGCTGGAGACTACTGTGATGAACACTGCATGGGGAAAACTGAGCAATCTGAGTTTTTAGTATAATAGTTTTTCCCCGCGATTGTTCTGATACTGCACACCACCAGCATTCTGCATAGGCATCTTTTCTAACCTAAAACATTCTCTATGCTTCTGAAGAAAGAATGTTTCCCTTTTACTTTCTCAATTTGACAGAAGATCACTTAATCCCCGTGGTCCATCCTTGGCCACAGTTACAAAATGAGAAAACTCCACTCAATGGTCTGGCCATGCAGTTAATATGAGTTGTGAACAGGTATTTCCTGTGGTTTATCTCGATATTTTTATTTTATTTATGATCTGTTGTTTGTTGTAGTTTATTTGTTTTTTTATTTCAGTCCAGGTAGTATTGCAGTGTGTAATTTTCTTTCCTGTACCTTATCACTATAATTCTTATTTTGCTTCCTGGAAAGGAAAACTGTGCAGTACTATGGAATCATGATGTCTTTTCTTCCTGACTTGTGCTCTTCATCTCCCATTGCCTTGGGGCCATTATTTTAATAGAATAGTTCTTCAACTGAATTAGGAGATTATCTGTTTCATTGCTATTCTGTCTGGATGTCATTCTGATTGAAAATATTCATCTGCTTAGAAATTAACATTGAAAATGGCATTGACTAAGTAATTCTGTTATGGATGAAACTGCATGTCAACAGATGTCACTTCAGTTCCTGATTTAAACAGATGAATTTATTGATACAGTAAAAAAATAACATACTCATAAAGCTCTCCTCCACAGTACATGCATGTACTGCATTGTCACTTTTGCAGCTATTTTTGTTTCACAACAAAAATGTATCTCTTCAGTATATAGTATGAGAAATGTACAAAAATATGCATTTTTTTGGTTATAAAATCTGTCTTCCTACTTCCAAGCTAATAACCCTGGCAGACAAGTATGATAAAATAGCTAAAAAAAATTGGTGTAATTATATTATTTAGTGATTTTGTTCATCTGCAATGCTACATCTTAACAACTACCTCTTTTGGTACATGTAGGGTGTGTCAGTTTGTGTGATATGACAAGACTGTGTGTTTCATGGCGGTATACCCTACCTCATCCTTTCATGTTACTGCAGAAATGTAATGCTGGTCCACATAAAGGTCCCTTAAATGCACAGATTCCCTATGCATATATGGGAAATGTAACACTGCAATATATTTCAAAATTTCAATCAAGTAAGAGGTGTTAAACTAAGGATAAAAAAAAAAGAAATTAAACATCCCCAGTAATTATTCCTTGTCCTGTGGTCCTCAAATGTCCTAACTTAATCAAAAGAAAGTATTTCTCCTATGGTCTCCATCATAGCATTTCAACAGCAGATTAAAAACAATTTTTCAAGTAAAATAATACTTATAACCATTTCTTTACATGCTCCCAACATCCAATTGCAACTCTATACTAAGAAAGATTAACAGCAAGCTGACTTATGAAGATGAAGTGAAGATGTAGTGAAGATGTAGTGATCAGGCAACAATCTATGTTTCAGGTCACTGGGAACACCATGTAGAAGAAACATTGCAGACTTTTGCTGGATTATGTGAAGCTGAGTGTGTCTCACATTAGACCAGAATTTATTGCACTCCATCTGTCTATAAAAGTGGCTAATCATCGTAGGTGAGGAAGCTCTTCCCAACAAACAATATTGTAGAGGCCAGTTGATTGGTCATCCATCTTTACTTCAGCATTTCAGTTGAATATATTTGTAATTAATTTTGTATCTTTGAAAAATAAAATTGTAGAAAAATGATTTCTGGCTTAAGAAAAATGTTTTCTATTTTTTCAGGTTTTGATGACTCTCTTTTGACCAACCTGATATAAAAAGAGACAATGCTATTCCAACTCAGTGTCTGTTCTTATTCTGATAAAGTCATGACTTTACATGGATTTAAGCTTGCATCAAAGCCGTGCTTGCAATGCAGCTTGTGTTAACGAAGCAGGGTGTCCTGGTTTCAGCTGGGATAGAGTTAATTTTCTTCCTAGTAGCTGATATAGTAAAGAATAATGTTGATAATGCACTGATATTTTGGCCGCTGCCCAGTGGTGCTTACTCTAAAGCAAGGACTTCTCAGTTTCTCATGCTCTGCCAGTGAACAGGTACAGAAGAAGCCAGAAGGATCCATGACTAGGAGATCTGACCTGAACTGGCCAAGGTTATATTCTATTCCATAGGATGTCATGCCCAGTATGTAAACTGGGGGAAGTTGTCCAGGAGGGGCTGGTCACTGCTTGGGGATCGGCTGCATATTGGTCGGTGGGTGGTGAGCAATCAGTGTGTGCAGCACTTGTGTCTCTTGGGGTTTATTCCTCTCTCTGTTTTTCCTTTTTAATTTATGATATTATTATTATTATTATTATCATCATTATAGTTATTTTATTTTACTTTATTTAAGCCATTAAAGTGTTCTTAATCCATGAGTTTTATCTTTTGCTGATTCTTCTCCCCATTGCGCAGGGGGCTGGGAATTGAGGCATGTGGTACTTAGTTTCCAGCTGGGGTTAAACCACAACAAAGTGCTGTAACTTGTCCTTCAATGGGAGTCGTATTCTGATACTGAAATAAAATTAGTTGAGATGGAGTTATAATGCTAAAAGTGGCTTATATTTTGATGAAGGTCAAATACTTCAGTGTAAACTCATTTGCCACGGTAAGAGGCAAAAAGAATCCAAAGTCCCAGAAGTAAAGCTCTCAAAGTTAAACATCTGAAGATTTGGGGTTAATAATGTAAATCAGAGGAAAAAAAAAAAAAGGAATGTGATCCAACCAGGAGAGGTTACATGGGA